AGGTTTTGCCTCTGGCCGTGGTCGGTTTTCACAGACTCGGTATCCAAGTTCCAATTTTCATGGCGGGTTTTCTGGTGCTCAAGCAAGATTTGGGGAATCTTCTTCTAAATTCTCTGTTGTTCCGGAATGCCAGATTTGTGGTAAACGTGGTCATACTGCAGTGAATTGTTATCATCGTCATGGTGATGACAATTCTAAGATGTCTGGGTCTATTATTGCTTGCCAAATTTGTGGTAAGAAGGGTCATGGTGCTTTGGATTGCTTCCATCGCTCGAATTATGTCTATCAAGGTCAAGCTCCTCCATCCACTATCTCTGCTATGGCAGCTCACAGTTCTTATATGCCTACACATGCTTACGCTCCAATGACAACTTCTTCGAGACAAGAGATGGCAGATCATGTTTGGATTGCAGATAGTGGAGCTTCCCATCATATGGTTGCTGATGTCTCTACTCTACATGATGTTACCCCCTGTGATTCCACTGATCAAGTGACTGTGGGGAATGGTGAAGGTCTGAATATAACAAATATTGGCACTACTGCTTTGTCTTGTGCTTCTACTTCTCTTAAAATGCCCTCTGTTTTTCATGTTCCCCAGCTCTCTGCAAATCTTTTATCTGTGAACCAGTTATGCAAAGATAATCATTGTATCATAAGCTTTGATTCTGCTGGTTTTTCTATACAGGACAAGACAACAAAGGCAATTCTTTTAAAGGGCTCTAGCCGTAATGGCTTATATCCCATTCCTTGTAAAGTTCCGTCTGCCCGGGTCTCGTTTTCCAGTCCAGCAGCTTATCTTGGTCAGCATGTGAGTTCGACTACATGGCATCAGAGATTGGGTCATCCAACAAATGAGGTGGTGAAGCGTATGCTTAAAGATTCCAACATGGTTGTCTCAGAAGATGCACAGTTTGATTTGTGTTCTTCATGTCTTCAAGGGAAAATGCACAAGCTGCCCTTTTCTAGTAGTCATGTTAAGTCAGATATTCCTTTTTCTAAGATACACAGTGATGTCTGGGGGCCTTCTCATTTTAAGTCCATTCATGGCTTTCGATATTTTGTACTCTTCTTAGATGAGTGTACTGGCTTTGTATGGATATATCCCCTTTTTAATAAATCTGAGGTGTTCTCCAAGTTTCTGAAATTCTTTGCTTTGGTTCAGACTCAATTTAATGCAAAAATTCAGCATTTTCAGAGTGATGGTGGTGGTGAGTATATTAGCAAAACATTTACTGACTTCCTTGCCAGTCATGGTATTCTGCATCAGATTACATGTCCATACACCCCACAGCAGAATGGTATGGCTGAGAGGAAAAACAGACATGTGGTAGAGACTGCTCTAACTCTTTTGACTGCTGCTCATATGCCTGGACAGTTTTGGTATCATTCTCTTGCACATGCAGTCTACTTAATAAATAGAATGCCAAGTCAGTCCTTAAAGCATCAAGCTCCTTATTTTCGATTGTATGGCAAGCAACCAGAATTACAGGCTTTAAGAATATTTGGCACTGCTGTATATCCATATCTCAGACCTTACAATGTGCATAAGTTTCAACCTCGAACCACTCAATGTGTATTTTTGGGTTATTCTTCAGGGTATAAAGGTGTTTTGTGTTATGATATCACCAATGACAAATGTGTCATCTCCAGACATGTGATTCATGATGAATCTGTTTGGCCTTTCAAGTCATTACTGCTCAGTTCAACGACTGCCGTTTCTGAATCTCAAGTAGCAATGCCACCTATTATTTTTCCTTTGTCTTTGCAAGAAGATACACCTCGGGCTGCCCCAGTTACACCAACAGCTCCGTCAACATCATCTTCTACTTTTGCATCTCATGTTGCGCAACCATTAGGTGGTTCAGCATCAATTCTTGTTCCAGAGGTGCGTCATCCCCTTTTAGGTGATCATCAACTGCCATTTTTATCTCCTCTTGAGCATTCATCTTCGGGTACTTCCTCATCTGCTTCTTTACCTATTAGTCCTATTAATACTCATCCCATGCATACTAGACTTAGGGATGGCATAGTACAGAAGAAACAGTTTGCTGAATATGTGGTGTATTATACATTTTTAAATGCTCGTATTGATTTAGAGGAACCTGCAAGCTATAAGGTTGCCTCGTTTGCTCCACAATGGAAACAAGCCATGCAAGAAGAGATTGATGCCTTGCATATGCAAGGTACTTGGAGTTTGGTTCCTAATCCTGGAAATAAAAACATTGTTGGTAGTAAGTGGATTTACAAGATAAAGAGGAATTCTGATGGTTCTATAGCTAGGCATAAAGCTCGGTTGGTAGCTCAGGGATTCAGTCAAGAGCAAGGCTTGGATTTTAGTGAAACTTTCAGTCCTGTAGTGCGTCACACCACTGTCAGGTTAATACTAAGTCTAGCTGCAATGAATAAATGGCAGTTAAGACAACTTGATGTTAAAAACGCCTTTTTACATGGTGAATTGGAAGAAGAAGTGTTTATGAAACAACCACAAGGGTTTGCAGATCCACGTTATCCTGATTTTGTATGTAAGCTTAAGAAATCATTGTATGGTTTGAAGCAAGCTCCAAGGGCTTGGAATGCCAAATTCACCGGATATTTACCAGCTATAGGTTTTCAAGCTTCTCAGTCTGATCCTAGTCTTTTTGTCAGACATTCAAACTCAGAGGTTGTGAGTCTCTTACTCTACGTTGATGATATTATTCTCACAGGTTCTAATGAGAGGATGGTTCAGCTTGTGATTGATGAGTTAAGTTCTGTATTTGAAATGAAGGACTTGGGTAAGCTTAAATTCTTTCTCGGCTTACAAGTATCTTATGCCTCCAATGGTGATATCTTTGTTAATCAGTCCAAATATGCTAAAGAGCTGCTCCACAAAGCTGGAATGCAATCGTGTCGATCCTGCTCAACCCCATGTAAACCACATACACAGGTGTTAAAAGATTCTGGTGAAGGGTTAACTGATCCAACATTGTTTAGGAGCATTGTAGGGGCTCTCCAATATTTGACTTTCACCAGACCAGACCTTGCTTACTCTGTCAACTCTGTGTGTCAATACATGAATCAACCTACTGATCTTCATTGGCATTTGGTGAAAAGGATTCTCAGATATGTACAAGGTACTCTAGAATATGGCCTGAGTTTTACAGCTGGTGATATGCATCTGTCTGCATATAGTGATGCTGACTGGGCAGGTGACATCAACACTCGAAGGTCTACAACAGGCTTTGTGATATTTTTAGGCAGCAATCCTATATCTTGGCAGTCAAAGAAACCTGGCTCTGATACCATGTTAATAGAAAGAAAAGAGAAGAAGAATTTCCGATGTTTCAGAGAAGAGAAATGAGGAAGACTTGAGAATTTCTGTATTTTGATTACCAAAGAACTTGCTTTTACAAATCATAGCCCACTCTTATATAAGAGAGGCTTAACTGAAATACACGTGCTAAGTACCAGACTTGTAACAAACTTACTGACTTGCTAATCATAGTTAGCATACTAACCATAGTGAACAATACTAACCATAGTTAACATTTTCCCTACTTAGGTAACTCTCTTAACCTAAGATGAGCACAATGCTGTGAGAAGACAGGACCATGTAGACCCTTTGTAAACACATCAGCAAGTTGTTCATCTGTTGAAACATACTGAACCAGCAAATCCTTCAGAATACGGCCTGGCCTTCCCTTTTCGTGCCTCAACTTAATTGTAGGACACTTGTCCATTTCTTAAAACTTTTACTTTGGTTGTTTAACTAGAGTTTCTTAGACTGCTTTGATATTGCCCGTGTAGGGTTGTAGTAGAGGCTGGAGGCGTATTTTGTAACATCTGTGTTATTGCATTGTGTGTGCTGGCAGTTGGTATTTTCTTTTTCTATTGTTTTTTACAGGTGGAAATTTGGTAAAGTTCATAGACTCTGCCGAATTTTCGGTAGAAGTCACGACCCCATTTTTCCCTTGTTTCAGAGAAGGTGATGTTTTTAGTAAGTGGGCCTAGCATCGATCTAATGTTGAATGGGTAACAGGGTTTGACACGGATTCCGAGGTGAAATTCAGGTTGGGTCATGTCAATATTTATTAGACTTATTTACACCAATGCCTCATGAAAATACAGTCAAATCTCACATTGCCTCCCCCAAACTTAAAGTAGCCCACTTTTATCACTTGACCGAGATTTAGTGACCTACTTTGTCCCATGCCGTCAACTCTATCCAGAAGTTTGTTAAATGTGATGACGTTGCAGGGGTATTTTTGTAATTTCATACACATGAATCCTTACAACAATTGAATAGGTGATGTGGCAAGTGGATCCCACCTCCATGTAAATATTAAATATTCTAATAATTAAAAATTTCGATCACTTTAACATGTTTCGTGTGATCATGTTGAACTTGATCATGTGTAATATCTATCACGACCTTATTGTCACAAAACAGGTTCATCACATATGCAAGGGCATATCTAAGCTAAGCAACTTCTTTATTCAAAGGAGTTCACAAATTTTTTTGGTCGTTCCTATAAACCTTGCTTTTGCACTATAATTGGGTTCCCATGGAGCAAACAAAGCAGCAAATGTTGCAGCTCATAGTCGAGTAGGAAGGAGGATGTGGCTAAAGGGAAGAGAGATAGAGAGAATTATTGCGGGGTGGAGGATTTGGGTCGTTTATGGTTGTAATTAGGGACTATATTGGCCAAATTGAAAATACGGGAACTAAGTTGGCCAAATTGAAAACACAAAGACTAAATTGACTAACAAGATAAAACATAGGAACCATTTTGACATTTAAGCGATACCTCATATTAAATGATGTGGCTTGTGATTTTTGTGTGTTCTATGATCCATATTCTTTTCTTACTTTAATTTGATGGGATTACTATATTGAAGACAAAAAGAAAATACATGTACGTAATTTTTTTTTTCTTGTTGAAGTTATACAAAGAGAAATGGTCCTCCCATCAAATTAAAATTTTCTCTTTGTATATAATTAAAACGAGGCCCAATGGTGTAGATAGAATTTAGTGGTCCGGACCTTAGAGTTTCGCAAAACCTAAACCCTCGAAAAAGTCCACAGAAAAACCTCGTCTTTCAGCTCAGCTCGACTGAAGGTGTCTTCTCCATCGCCAATGGCCGTGAGTAATTCCTGTTTCATCTAACTTTCTTCCTCGCATATGCATAAATATGTTATAATAGAAAGATTTCTCTGGGTCTTTTTCATATCTAATTGCGGCACAAGTTTTAAAACTTTCTGGTTTCTTTTTAAAATTTACCATCTCTTTGGGAGTCCTTATAATTTCTTATTTTGGGCTTTACGGTGGTTTTTTTTTTCTTTTATTTTTTGGTGGAAGTTCGGGTTTGCTATATTCAATGATATGCTAGTGTAACTTGTGGTCTGCTGGGTTCCTAAATAATATTATATGCATTCATTTTGTTTTAATGTGAGATTATTAAAAAAATATTGCTTCTAAAAAGCACAATAATATTTTCATGTGTTTAGTTAGTAGTTGATGAATAACATCTGAGCATTAATTCGTCGAAAATATTTTTATTTGCTAGTATATTTAAATTCACTTGTTGAACATAATGGCATGCCCTGATTTGTGATACTTTTGTTCATTCGCAAAATGCAGACAATACCAGTTAACCCGAAACCTTTCTTGAACAATCTGACTGGAAAGACTGTCATTGTGAAACTTAAATGGGGAATGGAGTACAAAGGTATAATTTGTTTTCGTTTCTGGAGACGTCTTTGACTCTTATGCTCTAGGTTTTTTTATTTCTCGTGTTCGTAAAAATTGATGACCATGCTCTTAATATATTTCTACTTCTCTTTGATACTGCATCCGTTCAGGTTTCCTGGTCTCGGTGGATTCCTATATGAACTTGCAGGTACTACTTTAAAATTTGAACTCTGGTTTCTTTACTCATACGGAATACATATTGTAGTTTCCGCCTTTTTACTGCAAGACAATAAATTTGAAGCTGGAAGTGATGTGTAATGTATGTAATCTTATGCATAGTTGGCCAACACAGAAGAATATATTGATGGACAATTCACTGGAAATCTGGGAGAGATTTTGATCAGGTGAGTTTGCTCAAATGCTTTGAACTTCTTAACTATAATCTTCCTTAGATTTTGTTGTTGGAATGTGCCTTCTATTTGTATTTGCATTGCATTTATTTTTTAGGGTTTTTAGCATGTAGTTTACCTTTTTTCCCCAGGAAAAGCAACTAAAGTCTAGGAACCACATATAACATGTAACTTTGAAGCTGCTGTTGGCTTCAGTTAACAATGTACGCTACTAGACGGTGTGCAGTTTATTATGACTTATATCATTGAAAAGGATGTAATGTTAGGCATATGAATCTCTCTCCTTCTCTCTAAAAGGTCCCTTTCTATAATATCGCATTACTGCCCCCGTCTCTGCTTTGACGCTATTTACTGGTGTGAAACATTAGCCAACGTAAAAAATAATGTTCTGTCTACTGTAGATGAACTTTTACTTTCAGACATAAAAAAAGGGTGTATCGAGATAATTGTGAACTCCCTTGAGGAAGAAAGTTGGGATCAGATGATTAAAGGAGGCAATGCAATGGAACAGTGTTAATTTAATGACTGCTAAAAAGGAGCTTAGATTACCCATTGAAGTTAATAATGGTCCTCAAAAGGTGCAAAAGTTGGGATCATGTACCTTTTGGATCCCATGGGTTTACCTTCTGGCATGTGTACATGGATGTGTAATATAGCTACAATTGAGTTAAATATAGGATACTTGGGAATAGCTCCTTGATAGTGCAATGCTCAGACTGCTGTATTCTATATGCCATATCGGAGATTTATAATTCTTCCCTTTTACTGGGTGGAGTTTTGGTGAGTTCGGTAACAAACTGCCATGCAGTAAACACAGTAGATTATTCAAGTTCTCAATTTTCCTCTACACGACCTGTTTCTGCACAGAAGTTTATAGTATGTTTCTGTTTAAAAGTAATGTTTAACATCAATGTAGCACATAATCATGCATATGCATTCATAACCTTGAGTGTCCAATGAATGAGCTGATACATCTTCAACAGATGTAACAACGTTCTCTACCTTCGTGGGGTGCCAGAGGATGAAGAAATTGAAGAAGCTGAACAGTTACAGGACTGAGATGATTGCTGGATGTTCGACTGACATGCCCGTGCTATTTAAAGGGCTCTTACTGACAAATGGTTCTCAAAAGTCAATGAAACTATGTACAAATGTTGAACTGAATTTCCTATGTGATCCATTGAAGTCTATTATGCAACTTAGCTCAATCTCCGCATAGGAAATTTTGAGGTGGGTAATCAATGTTTCGATTCAAAGGGGTATTCTGTTCTTGTCTGAACTCGGGTTACCATGACCAATTTTAATGAAGATTATATGATGAAGACTTAAAAACTTGAAAGACAATTCATGAGAAAAACCCTTCGGTTTTTTTGTTCCCTCTCTTTTTAACAAATGCTTATGTATTTGTCGGCCCAAATTCATGACTCTGGGAAAATTACTGTCATTAAACAAAATCATGTGTAAATGTTTTCTAGTGGTTAGTAGCACAGAGCGAGTCTGCAGATTCTGTCTCTGCCTCAGGCTATTGTATTCTGTATATAAATTGTAATCAGTGCAAGGAAAGACAAGTGCAACATGGCAGGAGATACAGCAGGTTCTGGATTGACTAATCATCAATAAACTGCATAAAGGAGTAGAATTTCTGCAGCCGATTTTTGTTGAAAACATGCAGATCATGTATCTAAAACCTTCCAACTTAATTTCCTGTTTTCTGTTATGTTATTCCTTCTCTAAGTCCAGTTTTGGTTTACAACACATTATTTCCTATTTCTTGTCATGTTATTTCTTCTCTATAAGCTTCAACGTGCTCCTCGTGAAAATGCCATTAGTATACGGAGATTATCCCATGTACTTAAACAAGAAAACAAACATACAACACATTATTAGAACTTGAATATCAGATACTATTGTTGTACAAGGCAGGAATTCCAAAGAAATACAAAGAAAATGGAAGCCTCACCCTATCGAATCAACATTTATAGGCAACAACTCTATGTATATGCAGGGAGCTTGGGCTTAATAAACTCTGTATGTATACGTATAGAGTTTATGTCTAAGCCTCACCCTTTAGGAACTTAGGGAGCCACTTCGCAGAGTCTTTAGGAATGCGTTTGAGATTGTCTTTGTAGTCGACATAGTAAAGCCCGAATCTTGGAATAAAGCCTTCCCCCCACTCGAAGTCGTCATTTAGAGTGTAGTGAAAATATCCCTTGACATTTATACCATTCCTGCACAAACAACAACAATGACAAGTAAATGAATACTCTATATGGATCCCCAAGCAAACTCGGTAAACATGCATTGTGTTCAACTCTTATGAATTAAGGAAATAAACTCATTACTTACTTTATTGCCATCTTGATCCGGTACAAATGCCGAAGAATACTTTGAATTCTATGTGGATCCTTTAGTGCTACATCAAGTCCACGTTTATCATTTTTCGCCTCGGTAATTCCATTTTCAGTAATGATGATTTTAGGGCTTTGGTAGTTTTCCTTCATGAACTCCAAAAGTTTCTGCAGACCTTCTGGATGAGTGATGACAAAAATGCTTCCTTCAGCCTGTAAAGGTAAACAAGTTTAAATTTTTTTGGAAAATATTGCTAGTACAATCTGCTCTATTTATAAACATGATAACCGCAATAGTGTTCATATCATTATTCTTACCAAAGGACCAATTGAGACTCCATCTATGTCTGCAACAATCACAACATGAGGAAAACAAAATCATGTCAGGCTTTTGTCTATCTATCTATCTATCATTCATACATACAAACGCTTGCAGAGAAAAAGAGCACACAAACAAGCACAGTAGTGGTGGTAAATACAGGGCAATGTAGATTTATTTACTTTCGGTCAAGTTAGATAATGTTAAAGAATCGAAGCGATAGGCGACTGCTTTAGCTGTACTTGCTGGTCGGTTTTTAACATATCTTGTGGTATAGTAATTGATGCCGATAAAATCAAAGGATCCCTCGAGCAATTTCTTCTCTTCTTGGGTGAAAGTGGGTAGCCTGTCCTTGACTAAATCTCTCATAGACTTGGGATAATCTCCGTATACTAATGGCTCCATGTACCTAAATAAGAAAACATACTCATTTGTGTGTGTTAACTTAATATTGATTGAGGAAGAAGTACAAATTACTCAATTAGCAAGTAATTAATTGATGAAGATGAATTTAAAATGGATTTACTAACCATCCAAGTTCAAAGTCTATAATTCTCTTTACTGCAGCTTTGTTTTCTGCTGAATCTGAATAAGGCTCATAATATGGTCCAACAAGACTGATTCCAATTTGTCCACCTTGTTGTGCCTAGAGAAATCTAGACATTATTCATCAATGAAAATTAGAGACTAATAATATATTTAATCTTGAATTTGATGCACAGGGCTCACTTGAAACTTGTCTTTGTAGAGCTTGACGACAGTAGCATGGGCAAGGAGAAGGTTATGGCTCACAATGTAAGGTTCAGTAGCAGAATTACCAACCGTACATGGAAAACGTGCTCGTACAGAACACCTGGCTGGTGGAGCAACTCCCAAGTCATAACCATTCTTAGCCATAATATATGGCTCATTGATTGTAATCCAATTCTTGACCCTATCTCCATAGGTTTTAAAACAAAGTTCACTGTAATCCTTGAAATCATCCCTGAAAATTAATTTATGTCATAATCCAAACATAATGAGCATGCAGAATGGCATTCGATAATACATAATTAACTTTCGTATTTGATCCAGAGACGGGAAGTAGTTGGTATAACAAGAGAAAAGTGCTTGCTTACACGAAAGAGCGATTTAGGACACCTCCATACTTGTCTGTCAAAGCTTGTGGAGGGTCGAAGTGTAATATGGTCACATAAGGTGTGATGCCTGCATCAAAACATAGAATTACACAAGCTGTAAGAAAATAGAGCATCATACACCAGAACATAGGATTCTAGATATGTATGTAATCAAGTTCTAGACAAATTATAAGAAAATATAGCATTGTATGTGAAAAGGGTAATCGAAAAAACAAAGAGTTTACACAACTAAGATCTTACTACTAAAAGCAATTATGTTCATATAAAATATCGAGCTTCTTACCGTTCTTGAGTAATTCATCAATCAAGCTGTTGTAGTGGTCAATGCCTTCCTGGTTTACTCCACCACTCAAAGTTCCTTCTACATGTCCAAAATTTCAAACAATTGAAGCAGTGAGTTTAATTAGGAGAGATCAAGTCTAATATGTAACAAATCTCTATAGTAAACTTAAAGCCATTCTTTTCATCCTCTCTTACATTTCTAACCAAACCAGTTAATGAGAGAATGTTCTTACTAGGAAGAATCCTGGTCCAGGAGATAGAAAATCTATAAGAATCAACTCCAAGGTCCTTCAGAGCCTTCACATCTTCCTGTAATTACAAATTTAATATAGCTAGGTCAGATATATGCCCAAAAAAAGAAGAAAATATTGCAAGCTCTTACTCACCTTGTATCGCTTATATGAATCGATGGACGTAAGGTTAGAGCCGTCCTGAATTCTTTCTAAAATGTAAAGGAAAATAACAGAGAAGAAAATGAGCATAAATTAAGTTGGTAAACTAAAGCAATTTTTATGTAAACAGTTTGGATATGAACCTGGGTATTTCTCAATATGGTGGTCCCAAACACTTGGTCCTTTTCCTGCTTCTTTTGCTGATCCTTCAATCTGCACCCAGTAGTAGCATATCATAATAGGAACAGAAAAATACACACACACACACACACACACAATAAAAAAGGATAGAAATGAAATGATGTATAACAGATTTACAACTGGAGTTAATGGTGAACCTGTGCAGCAGCAGTACAGACTCCAAACACGAAATCGCTTGAGAAGTCAGACCTCTTTACTTCCAATTCTTCAGAGTTTGATGCATTTTGCAATCCCTGCAACTTCCTCTCGGCGTTCACAGGAGCTGCATGCAATTAATTGATCAGTCCTTTGAGGCATTTTTTTGGAAAAAAAAAAAAAAAACTCAAATGCTTTAATTAACTCCTTTGGAATTTCCTAATTAGCTAAAAGCGATGAGGGAAAATAACTTGGAATTTAGCTAAAATTTGGGAATTTAGAAATTGACAATTCCCTTGTATGGCAACTTAAGCGCGTAACTTATTAAATGACGCATGTAAAAAATTGTGGAAATTGGAGCATCAAATTCCCGAGTTTAATTTTCTACCAAAATAGGCGTCATTTCATAATTTCCATAGTGCCATTTATAAAATTATGTCATTTACAAAATTCAACATACATAAATCCAAACACTGAAATCTTTAATAGCCAAAAATTGAAATGATAGTAATCTAAATTCCGTCATTTTAGAATTCTATGTAATTTTCAATTCCTTCGTCCAAACGGAGGGTCAATTACTAGTTGTACCATGAATTTAGTACTTAAATTTTGATGTGAAAAATTTTGATGTGAAAAAGCTCCACCAAAATGTATAATTACAAGAAGAAAAAATGTGGAAATGAACCGCAGACCTTGTGACAAAGATGCAATCAAAGCAATGGCACATATCCCATGTAAAATCCTACAAAATGGTGATGAGGATGCCATGACCTCCTAACAAAACTCTTTTGATTCTTGAATCAATAATATTTAATTTTCAGATTAAACTTCAACTCAAGGGTGGATAGCCAAGCCCGTCTTACAGAGGGGTATATATACAGTACCCCGTCTACGTACCATTAGCCATGCACAGAAAATTAATCAACTAATTAACAAAATACAACTAACAATCTTAGAAATGGTAGCTTATTGTTATTAAGATGTGGTACAGAGGGCTCTGGTCGAGGGAAACAAATATCAGTTATTTAATTTCTGGGGGAACCGTCTACGCCAATTCACATTTACCGGGTTCAACAAGCGATTGATGTTTCTAGAAACGAAAAAAATACCAAAACGTTCAAATTCACAGCTAATAACATTGATTTTTGAATGAATCAACTAGTTAATATATTCAAGATAATTACGTATTTACAAAATCCCAGCTTTGTAAGTTAACTCCTTTCATCAGCAGAGCGAACATAAA